TGGCAGGGAGGTGTCACATCCTAGACATCATGTTGGGCTGGATTCCAGCTTGTCTGAGGTGTCCTGTTGGGAGTCTGAGCAAGGAATTAAGAATGTGTGAGTGTTTAACACAGGAGAGGTGAGAGAGAGAGAAAAGCACTCTGAAAACGAGGTCACTTGGCATCACTCAGACCCCAGTCAAAATCCTTGAAAGCTCCCCAATTCCAGTGGGAATATGGCAATATCCTTACTGCTGTGCTTCCCAAGTTCCAGAATAAATATTTTTAATTGATGTTTGGCTAAAAATCTAGGTTTTGATGGCTTCACCTACAAAAAACAGATGTCCAGGCTGAATTCTAAACTCTGACTATTTTTAATAGAACTTTCTTGTGTAATAATCACAGCTGATTAACTCCCAGACATTTTCAGCCTAAGTAGAACCGATAGAATTCAGTGCTGTGTCAAAGAAACATTAAAAAAAAAACCAAAAAAACCAAAAAAACCAAAACAAAAGACCCAGATTGCAGTGAGGGTACCTGCATTTGCATGTTTGGATGCCTGAGGGTTGAGCAGAACATCAGTGGAGGCTGTCAGAGGAAAAGTGGGCAGGGCATGTTGGAAAACACCTTTTTCGTGCAGGCCAGATTCTCCCTGAATTTTGGGTAACACCTTTTCATGCAGGCCAGAATCAACCTGAATTTTGGGTAACACCGTTTTGAATTTTGGGTAACACCATTTAACACCAGGCCCGATTCTCCCTGAATTTTGGGTGGGTAACACCTTTTCAATGCAGAACAGAATCAACCTGAATTTTGGTAACACCTTTTCAATGCAGACAAGATTCTCCATAAATTTCAGGTAACACCTTTTCAATGCAGGCCAGAATCAACCTGAATTTTGGGTAACACCTTTTTCATGCATGCCCGAATCTCCCTGAACTTTGAGTAACACCTTTTCAATGCAGGCCAGAATCAACCTGAATTTTGGGTAGCTCCAGCTACTGCAGCTGGTTTTGAGGGGAGCACTTGTGCTGCATCAAAGCTGCTGAGCTGGGAACCTCTCCAGTGTCACTTGGACTTCAACAAGGAGGATTTGCATTCCTTAAACTCCCACCGCTAAATCTTTTGTCTTCCTCCCGTAGCTGGGGACTTATGTAAATTGTGTTCCTTACAGGAGCTCTGTTTGAAGTGTGTGGCTGCTTGGATGGAACATTTCTTGCATTTAGAGTGGAGATCTGTGGGGTGTGGGCTTGAGAAGTCAATACTGGGAAACTAATCCAGGCCCAGAGCCCAAAACCTGCTGAACACTTCCACCTCTCACAGGGGAACGACTCCAGGCTTTGCTTCATTAACTGCTTGCAATTTTGGATAGAATAATGAAATCACCATGGGATGGTTTGGGTGGGAAGGGACCTCAAAGCCATTGCTGACATGACAGGGACACCTCCAATTGTCCCAGGGTGCCCCAAGCCTGGCCTTGGACACTTCCAGGGATCCAGGGGCAGCCACAGCTGCTCTGGGAATTCCATCCCAGCCCTTCCCCACCCTCCCAGGGAAGGATGGACAGCTTGGCAAAGAGTTCCACCTGGTACCAGGTGTGGGCCAAACCCAAAATGTTCGTTGTGTCTGATTCTGGAGCTCGTTTCCTGATTTCTGTTTCCTTGCTGCAATAACTTTTAGTCCTTCAGGTAAGAATTGGGCAGGGCTGATTTTAGAGATTAAAATGGAAATGAAAAGAAAAAAAAAAAATAAATGGAAGATCTTCAGAAAATGCTGTGCAGGGACACAGCAGCTCAGAGCAGCTGGGGCTGCCCCTGGATCCCTGGCAGTGCCCAGGCCAGGCTGGAGCCCCTGGGACAGTGGGAGCTGTCCCTGCCATGGCAGGGGTGGCACTGGGGGGGATTTGAGGTCATTTTCAACCCAAATCATTCCAGGATTCCACGTTAAATCCCTCCAGGGATGGGGACTCCACCACCAGCCCATCCCAGTGCTTCAGGACACAATCCCAGGGTTGTGTTTATTTGTCTGGATTTTTTTAAAATTTATTTGACTGGAATTTGTTCTGATTTCTATTTTTTTGTCTCTTGGAGGCCAAAGCAGCTGAAAAGGCCCAGCTTAGGTCACAGCTGGGTTGTTTCAGTCTCTGCACAAACAGTCCTCACCTCAAAGAGCTCCAGACTCCAAGGACAAGCAGGGGCAGGACTGAAGATTCTCATTTTACAGCTCATAAAATGACTTGTGCAAGGTTATATCTGAGTGTCTCAGGTATTAGTTCCATAGCAGGAGTGAAAAAAAAAAAAAAAAGAAATTACCTCAGAACCTAGAACAAAAACACTTCTAAAATTAATTCTCTGCAGCTTAGATGGTATTGAATGTGTTTTGTTGATCTCTGAATCTGTAAAAATAGAATAGTAACAGCTTTGTGTAGAGTGAACAGCATCCCCAGTGTTCTCCATCATTTTCCTGGATGAGTGCAGGCACAATTGTCCCCACAATTGCAGCATTTCCCGCAGCCAAGGCTGTGTCCTGGAAAAGCTTTCTGGGGGCTCAGGTGTCACCTCAGTGCAAACAAAATCCGAGCCCTTGTGTCTTCCTGCAAAGGCAGAGCTGTTTGCCAGGGAAGGACAGGACTCTGTGGGACAGTCCTGGTGCCCTCCCTTTGACTTTGAATTTTGAAGGAATTTTCAAAATTCCTTCAAATTTTGGAGGTTTGAATTGCCCTCGTGGTTGTTTCCTTGGCTAAGAGGCTTCCCCAGGGCTGCCAGAGGTGGAAGGGGCTGGTGGCATCTCTGCATTAATCTTCACTGGAGGACAAAGCTCCTCACATCCATTTGACACCATTATTTCTTTAATTTCCCTTACGCTGCCCTCAGAGGGTGAGTGGTTGGCAGATCTGTGCAGGTGTGCTCGTCCTGTGTTCCCTGGGTGTTGTCCCACCCAACAGGCATTTTAACACAAGCAGCTCTTCCACTACTACACCTAACTTAATTAACAACAGAAATAAAAACCATGCCTTTACAACAAAGTCGCTTTAACACCACACATACGAAACCCATTTTAATATTTGCAAAAAGCCAGTATTATAATACGCCTCTGTGACACTCTGACTCCTGTTTGGAGCCTGCAGCCAGGCCTCAGGTGCTTAATGGGCTGTGTGTTATTGCTGCCCAGCCAGGACCTCCATCCCTCAGCCCTCCGGAACACAAACACTCCTTGGCTTTTATGGAATCATAAAGAGCTGCCTTAAAGCTGAGGCCAGCTCAGCCCTGACAGGCTCTGGCACGGATCCTGCTCTCTCCAGGGGAGATCCATGTTCTTGTGAATCCACAAGCGAGCACAGTTGTCCCATCGAATTCCGCCCAGCAGCCTGTCCTCTGCGTCCCTGCCACTCAGCTGCCATGTCAAATCATATTTGCAGCTGAATTCCAGCTCTTGGAAGGATTTTGGGATCTCTCCAGTGTTCTGCAGGGGATCCACATCAAGAGGAACTCTGACCCTGCAAAATTTCCCAATTAGCTTTAATGCTTTTGCTTTTTCCATGCTTTTTTTTTTTTTTTTTTTTGGGGGGGTGATGAAGAGCACCGAGCAATGAAAATTTGGGAGAAATTATCTCTGTGGTCTTCACTTAAAGTTCAGCCTGGAAAATCAAAAGGCATTTGTTCCAAGATTGGATTATGTGTAGGATATCTCCAGCTATAATGAGCTCAGGTTTGCTGGCAGCGTTAGAATCAACTCTCGCCTCTCTCTCCCCTGCCACATGTGTTTTTCTCCCTCAGAGCATATTTCTTTCGACTTGATCAGCTCATCTCTTGCAGATGATAAAATTATCTGCAAAGATTTGTATCTGATGTTGTGCCATAAATCATATTTAGTCGTAGGATTAACATTTGCAAGCGTAGAATATTTATGGAAGGGGAAAAAAAAAAAAAAAGAAAAAAAGCAGGTGGGGGGCTGGCAGTTTCTGAGGATTTACATAAGGAAGAGCTGGGATTCAGGATGGATCTGGCAGGGTTTGGAAATACATTTGTACAAGGTGTGGATGTGCTCAGCTCTGGTGAGCAGCAGTGGAGCTGCTTTACAGTGTTTATCTTGGGGAGGTTGGAAGATAAAGAACGCGGGGAACCGTGACCTTGGGTGAGCAGCTTTGTCCTGGAAGCAATAAACAGATGTTCCAGCTGTGCTGGCACCACCCCTGCTGCCAGCTGCCTCTGCCTTTGACATTCCCAGGCTGCTCTGGGCGCTCTGGAAGCACTCAGCACCTTTCCAGGCACTGGAAAAAGGGGTCAGTTTTGGAAGCTGCCGGGTTTACAAACCCCTTGGCTTGGTTTTCAGAGCTGGGTCATCCAAAAGAGTCAGAACTGAGCAGTTTGAACATCTGCCCACAAACTGGGGAAAGGGACAGAGGGAGGGAGGGCAGCTCCCTCTGCTCTGGCTCCAGCACTGCCAGGCAGGAGATCCTTCCAGGAGTGGGGACACAGATCATGGAATCCTGGAACAATTTGGGGTGGGAGGGACCTTAAAATCATCCCATTCCACCCCCTGCCGTAGGCAGGGACACCTCCCCCTGTCCCAGGTGGCTCCAACCTGGCCCTGGACACTTCCAGGGATGCAGGGGTTGCCACAGCTGCTCTGGGAATTCCATCCCAGCCCCTCCCCACCCTCCCAGGGAGGAATTCCTTCCCAATATCCCATCTAACTGTGCCCTGTGGCAGTGTAAGACCACTGTCTGTATAAAATTCCCTCTCCCTCCTTGTTATCAGCCCCTCGAGGCTCTGGAAGGGGCTCTAAGATCCCCCTGGAGCACTTCCTCCTCCAGGCGGAACACCCGCGCTCTCCCAGCCTGGCAGTGCTGCCCCAGAGGGACCTGAATGTTCTGCAGGGAGCTGGGAGCTCCCAGGGGTCCCTCCCGTGGGCTGATCCCGAGGGATTGAGGCCGCCTTGGGATTTCTGGTGATGCTGCACGAGCACGAGGCTCGCCCGGGCGCTGACGGCTGCTGTTCTTTGGTCCCGTTTCTGGTGCAGGTCCCTCACCACATGAAGACTTTACCCTACTACAGCTACGACCAGCCCGTGATCGGCTACTGCCAGGCCCACAAGCCCCTCCACGTCAACAAGGGCTACGAGACGGTGTCCCGGGAGCCGGCGGAGACCTCCAACCTGGACCTGGGCCGGGACCACAGCTTCATCGCCACCATCGCGCGCTCCGCCGCGCCCGCCATCTACATCGAGAGAATACCCAACTAACGGGGGCCACCACCTCCGGGGACAGCTCTGGGAGGGACCTTTCGTCTGGGAGGAGACCGGGCAAGCGCTCCAAGCCCAACGTTCCAGCGGCAAACGCTCCGAGGGCAGGCGGCGGCCTCCGCTCGGCGGGAAGGCCGGCGCGCGGAGCGCACGCGGAGAACTTCGGGATTTTCCTTGCTTTAAACTTTTCAGACAAATTCCTCGGTGTAAATATTAAAGAGAGAGATTGTCGAGTTCTTTATTAAAAAGAACAACAGCAAACAGCAACAACGGCAGCAACAAATAGATTTCACTCTAGCTACATAAAGGGATGGATTAAGAGTTTTGTTTGTATATTTGATTTTTCTACATTGCACGGTTCCAGGGAAGGAGAACCACAGGTAAAAATAAATGGGGTGGGGAGGGCGAGGCTCTGGGGAGGGTCAGCCATGTTCCCTTATTAAGTGTTTATTACAAAGATCCGTTGACTATTTTTGTTCTTTTTAAACCAACAAAAGATAGCTCTATATTTTCTTTTTTCCTTTCAGGGGTTGGTTTTTCAATTGGGCTTTTTTTTTTTTTTTTTTTTTTGGTTTTTTAAAGTGGTTGAGCATTAATATTTCAACCTTCAGACATGGGCATTAAAGCTTATGTTGAACCAAAAGGACCTTGGCAGTTGATGCAACAGAAACAAAGAAACTTGGGTGCATGTACATTTAAGACACAGGCTGTACACTATGGAGGGGGCTTTTGATTTTTTTATCTTCATTGTGCTTCATTGTTGACACTCTAATTCCTTTTTGGGCTCTAAAAAAACAAGGGGAAATACTGCAACAGAGTCACGACTCAGATTTCCAGGCCAGTGATGCTTGTTAAGCAAAATTTGTGGACGTTTGGGAACCAAAATGGAAGTGAAGTGCTTGAAATGGATCAGAAGGAAAATCTTTTAAAGAGCATTTAGTGCAACTCACTGGCTGACACAATTTCTAAAACACAGCAGAATGTGTAACGTTGTTTTTTGGTTTGGGTTTTGGTTTTGTTTTTTATTAATTATTATGATCAGTTAGTTTTTGTGTAGTTTTTATCAATAAAATGACAACAACAAACAAACAAAAAAAAAAAAGAAGTGGTGGAAAAAAAAAATAAACATATTATTTTGTGGTTGGGATACCACAGCCACGCTACTGTTTGAATGATTTCTCTGGGTGTGTGACACGGGAGAGAGGGGACAATGCTGGGTCCTGTTCCTGGAAGGAAATCAGGGAATTGTTCTGAATTTAAAAAACCTGAGTCCGAAGAAGCTCAATTTGTTTGGTTTGTCTAAAAAAAGAGGTGGTTTGGGGGCTGGGGGAGGGGAAGAGAGGGAAAACAACCTTTTTTTAAACTAAAAGTTGGGTTTTTAACCAGAAGGGAGGTTTTTCATCTGCAAACCTGAGCTGGAGCTAAACCAACTCAGATTAGAACACGAGGGATGAGTTTTTATCTGGAGGGGGAATAACACATTGACAAAGTTTAGGACAGAATGAATTTGGTGATTATTTCAGGTATTTATTTGGGTGTGTTATACAAAATCTTGGCCACAAGGCTTAATGAATTCCTGCAAGTGCTGAGTGCTGTCTCCTAGACACAATATTCTATTGTCTCCTGTGTTTCTCACCTGGAAAACTGATTTCTTTTTCCCTGGAAGGCAAGGAAAGATGGGGATGGATGTGCTGGGCTAGGCAGGGAAACGTGGACACACAGAGTGGACCTGAAGCACGGAAGGTAATGCATTTAGAATTAAGTGTTGGGCAGGAAATGAAAAGAGAATGGAGTGAAAATCCAGGTGAGGAGTTTCCAGATGAGATCTCCTGAGATCTTTCAGCCTTGGCAGTGCCATGGATGGAGGGAAAAGTCTGCTCCAAGCACGAGTTTAAAACACTGACCCATGCAGCTGAAAATGAAAGAGCTCCCACCCATTCCTGTCAGCTCCAGGTCAGCAGGAGGATGGATTCCAATAAATATCCAGAGGGGAACAGCATTCCCGTGCTCCTGAAGGATGAGAATGGAGATATTTTTATTGTAAGGATCATTAACGGCAATTGTATAATTCTGGTGTAATTTTTGAGAGGATCGTTCTGCATCTGCCAGGACCGGGGAAGGAAATGTCACCCAGAAATATTTCTTGTCTGGTGTGTTTTTTCCTTAGCCCCCCACCTGCTGGGCATGTGGATATTGGAGAATATATTGTTTATTTTTTAATTTCATTTATAATCGTCTTGAATGCAACTTCCCCCTCTGTTCTGGGAAAAGCTACTGAAAGAGAAGGTAAAATTAAACAAACTCCCCCTTCTTTATTTCCTTATTTCAAAATAACCTAATTTTAGCATTGATTTGGAGGATGGCTGGAACTGACATTAGATTACAGATTTTCCTGGCAATTAGTGGGAATTGTGGGAACAAAATAAACTACTGCGGGCACAATCTCTGGGTAAATTCATGGTTTTCTGCCCAAAATGTTGCTGGGTTTCCTCTGTTTATACCCTGATGCCAGTCTGGATAAGAAGTCCATAACTCTTATTTGTATCCTTAAAAATAAAGGAGAAAATGCTCCAAGAATGAGTTGATGGCATGAAGTTAAACCTTCCTCAAGTGCTAAAGGTCTGGAAGAGCCAAAAATTTGTGTCCTGGATTGCTTTGGATCAAAGCAGAAGCTGTTGGGCTGAGCTCAAGTGATCAGACCAAAAGGGCTCTTTACCAACTGATGTGGGGCTCCAGATTTCACAAAAATCAAATATTTAATTCTCCTGCCTGCAATTAAAGACAAATAAATTCATATAAAATTTGCTCTCCAGCCATAATGCCAAAAGCCAAGATCAACGTGTTGATCCCCAGCCTTTTGTTGCGAGTTTTGTATTTGTTGTGTTCTTTTTGAAGCCTCAGTTCCTGGATTCATGTGATCCTGTTGCACCTTCAGCTTCAGGCCGTGTCCAAACTCTCTTTAGGCCAGGCCTTTCTACTCCTCTTCACACAGCTCTGGTGAGGGAAGTGGCTGCTCTGCAAGGGAGAATGGAGAAACTCAACAGGTCTCCAGGTAAGACCCAAAAATTAAAAATGAGACTTTGATGGTGCTCCTCTCCCAGCAAAGGGGCGTTAACGAAGGGACCTCGTCAGGGAATGGTGGCTTTGGTGGCATCTTGAGGTCACAGAGCCCCCAGAGGAGCTGCTGAGCTTCCAACCAAAGCTGTGAACTTCTGCAAAAAAAAAAAACCCAACTGCTGATGGGTCGAAGCAACAGATTCTCCAAGAATCTGGGGGATTCTTGGTGGAAATCAGATGCTGCTTTTCACTCATAGTCACCTTGGAAATGTCCATGGGGCACTGAAATTCCTCTGTCCTGGGAATGCTGGGGTGGGATCTGCATCCCAGAGCCTGTCCCAGCACTTCTCCTGCTCCCAGTTATTTCCAAGGCTGGCAATATTTTGCTGTGAGATTTAAAAATCTTTTGGAATAAGCTGCCCTTTTCAGTAATGAATTGCAAGTGTTCCGAAGATTGATAAACACAATTTCATCCTGACTCCCCACAGGAAAAAGTCCCTGAAGGAATTTGGCACGATGGCCATCGCAAATCTAGTGCTTTTATAGATATTTTCAAGCTGCATGAAGATTTAAGGCTCCAATGTAGTGTGTATTGAAAGTTATTAATTTTTAGGTGGTTTTGGCTCCTTTAAATGTCACTTGTCACTTTTTTAAAGCTGTAGAAAGGAAGGGGGGGATTGGTGGGGCTGGGAGTCCATCAAGCTGGAACCTTGCCTTAAATTAAGAAAAATAAATTACCTGTCTGATATTAATGCCTTCCTCATAAGAGTGAGAGCAATAAAGAAGGCTCAGACTGACTTGGAGTTTGGGTTTGTTGGAGGGCAGGAATTAAAAACCGTCCTTGATCCCCAGAAAATGGAGGACAGCAGATTTCAGGGACACACCACCCATTCCTCAGGGCAAGAGCAGGAAGTGTTGTTATCCCCAGAGATCCTGCTCATCACTGAGAAGATGAGGTTTGATTATCTTGATTTTTAAAAGTGTCATTATCAGAATGATAAGGATGAGAATAAATTAAAAATAAGAATAAACCTGCCCCTTTTTGGGGAGAAGCTGTGGCTGGCCCTTCCCTGGAAGTGTCCAAGGCCAGGTTGGATGGGGTCTGGAGCAACCTGGGACAGTGTCCCTGCAGGGTGTTGGAAATGGATTTTTCAGGTCCCTTCCAACCCAAACAATTCCATGATTCTCTGATTAAAAACCATTCCATGACTCTCTGATAAAAACCTCCCCATCCTGTGAAAGAGTTAAGCAGAAAACCCCAATAAAGAAACTCGAATGCACGGCAGAGCTGGGTCCCAAGTGGAGTAAAACACCAAATGTCCCTCATTTGCTCCATGCAGTTATTCCAGCAGCACTTAGAGCCTGTTCCTGGCCTTGGGGCCCTGCTGCTGGGATTTAATAAAGCGTGGGCAGCTTAAAGTAAACCAGGCCTAGCAGGGAATGCTGTCAGTCCTAACTGGAGCCAGGGGACACACCAGGACAGATCCCAGGCTGGTACCAACCCACCCGTGCCTGGGGCAGGGTTCTCTCAGTCTCTGAGTCTCAAGCTGCCCCAAGGGAAATTTAGGTTGGATATCAGGAAAAAGTTCTTTACAGAAAGGGTGATGAAGTTCTGGAATGTTCTGCCCGGGGAGGTGGTGCAGTCACCATCCCTGGGTGTGTTTAACAAAGCCTGGACGTGGCACTGGTGCCAGGGCTGAGTTGAGCTGTTGGGGCTGGGCTGGACTCAGTCTTGAAGGTCTCTTCCAACCCAGGGATTCTGTGAATTCAGTGCCAAAAACGGGATTCATTTACATGCCAAAAAAAGCCTTTTTCCTTTTTTCCCCCCTCCTTTTTTCCCCTCAGGTGCCAGGGTTGGTTTGAGGTGCTGGGGCTGGGTTGGGCTCGATGATCCTGAAGGTCTCTTCCAACCCGGTGACTCTGTGACTGAACCCAGCTCTTTG